CCCCAAAACCCCAAAACCCCGAGTGACTATTTAAAGACTATGAATGCTGTTTGATTTAAAATTTATTAATAGAAACATTGTAATCTCAAAATAAATTCTTCAATTAAGCATGACTTCAAATATTTGATTAAAGTTCTTGCCTGTCACAAAGAATGTGTTGGTTGATTTTCTATAAGCGATGCCATTGAGGACGTTGTTTTGGTCATCCCAGAATAAATTATGCATTGATTTGATCATCTTCTTCTTTAAACTGCCGAAATCATATTTTCTCACGACGTTTCCTGTCTCTGGATCGATCTTAATTATAATGTTGTGTGGAAGAACATTGGCATAGATAAAACCATTAGCATATTCCAATTCATTGATATATTCAACATTCTTACCATTGTCCTTTACTTCAATCTCGCCAACGACATGGAATGTAGCTGGATCAAGTTTGTAAATGTACTCTGTACCATCTGAGGCATATAGGTTTTTGGAGTCATGAGTAAGTCCCCAACCCTCGACCATAATCTCTGGCATATCTAGTGTTCCCTTGCTTTCTAAAGTTTTTTAATCATAGAGGAAAACCTTCTTTTCCCTGTAAGTCATTTAGTAGATCACATTTTTAAAGGCAGTACAACCTTCTCCGAAAAATTTGGAGGGAAGAGTTGCTTTCTGGACAATTTTAGACTGGTGCTTGTCGTGATCAATGCTAATCAAATGAATTTCTGAACCTGAGTAAAGCCCAGCGCTTTAAATCATCAAGTCATCTGAAAGGAATTCAAAACCCTCCACGAAGAACTTATCCTTTTAGTATGTATGCAAATGGTCAAATGAATCACTTCCACTAAGTTTAACTCTGTATGCCGGGTTAAGATCGATGTAGTCTCCATGGTTGTGCTATGCAATGATTGAGTCAACTGATATATATGTCAAAATAGAGAGTACAATAGAACTAATTTTCATATTAATAGAGTTATTATTATTATTATAATTTAGTAGATATAATTTGGAATTATTATTTTTTAATTAGATAGATATCTATTCTAATATTTACTATTTATTTCAATTATAGGGGTTTTGGGGTTTTGGGGTTTTGGGG